GCTCCTCGCACATTTCATATTTTGCTTTGTCATTCATTGCTGCCTTTTGGAATCTTCTGTTCAGCTCTTTAGTATCTTGAATTCTTCCTTGTGCTTTTGCTTCTCTATGCTCCAGTGCAATCTTCAGAGTTTCTTCTGACATCCATTTTGGTCTTTTCTTCCTCTTCTGTGTTTGTAATGACCGTTTGCACTCTTCATGGATGATACATTTAACATCTTCCCACAACTCATCTGGTCTTCACTCATTAGTGTTCAAGGCCTCAAACCTGTTCCTGAGATGATTCTGAAATCCAGGTGGGATGAAATCAAAGCCATATTTTGGCTCCTGTAGTTTCGGTTTAATTTTCCTCAGCTTCACCTTGAACTTTTTAACCTGAATAAAATTTTAGCTTATTATACTTTGAAGGAGCAGTATACAGTGTTTCCTAATGTAATTGGTATTAAATGGGCCACATGACTTAAAAGATGTGCAAATATAAATTTTTCAGTTTTCAGAATATTTTAAAGATTTTTATTTTGTACATTATTAACTTCTCCTCCTTCATACAACTTATTAACAATTTCTTTCAAGATATAATGATTTTTCATGAATTCAGATGAAGGAGGAGTTGTTGGGGTAAACTCATGAGATATTGGCAAATCATTTTTTGAAATGCAAATGATATTGGTATTATAATTTTTTCCTACAGGAATTGTCTGCCTCAAAAGATTTATATACTTGAAGCTCTAAATTATGCTTTCACTTCTTTCTTATTCCTTCCCATTATTTATTATTTTTGTGAGTTTAACATAATATAGTCCGGTTTTATAAACTTCCCATCATTTTTGCATTTGAACAATACAATTTGGGAAGAAGCCAATTTTATGAGACATGACATATTTGGGAGAGCTCTGGTAATACAGTCTCTAGATAGTTGTGCTGCTATCCTGAAGATTTCACTTCCCTGGGAGTTCAAACCCACCAATGACACAAAAGGAAAAAAAGGGCAATCTCTTTCTATACGATGTATAGCTACCACAAACCCACTGGAGGGTCATCCATGAGTCAGTTTTAACTGGACGATAATGAATACACGATCATGTTTCATATTTGAAAAAATATTGTCATATTCTGTCATTTTAGTAATTTATCTTTATTTCTCTGTTATACAGCTTTAAGAAGCCAAGTTTTAGAAAATTTTGTGGGAAGTTTTAAATTCTATTTTAAAATAATTTGCATAGTGTATGTTAAGTAAATTATGGAATGAAAGTCAATTTGACTGTGCAAAACTTATACTTAGACCATGAGGCAGTTGTCAGAAAGGAGCAAGGAGACACTACATAGTTCAAAACCAAGAAGAGGTTCTGTTAGGGATGTATTTTGTCTCCATACCTTTTCAATCTGTATGCAAAAGAGATCATCCGAGATGCTGGGCTGTATGAGGAGGAATGTGGCATCAGTATTGGTGGAGGATTCATCAACAACCTGCCTTAAGCAGATGACACAACCCTGCTTGCTAAAACTGAGGACTACCTGAAGCACTTGCTGCAGAAGGTCAAAGACTGCAGCCTTCAATATAGATTGAAGCTCAACATCAAGAAAGCAAAGATTCTCACCACTGGACCAATTGGCAGCATCAGTATGGATGGTGAAGTGATTGAGATAATTAACAGTTTTAGTTTACTCAGATCCACAGTCAACACTCTTGGTAACAGCAGCTAGGAAATCAAGAGATGAATTGCATTGGGAAAGTCAGCTGTGAGGGACCTCTCAAAAGTACTGACATGCAACGAGCATTGCTGAACACTAAGGTTCGCCTGA